ATGCCTACTGACCTTTAGCTTTAAGAAATCCCTTTGAGAAAGAAACCAAACAAACTAGTATTTCTGGAATTAAAAAACATTCTGAAGAAAGCTTTTCAAATCCAAACTTGGAAAACACAATATGAAACATTTCACTGCTTTGCTACAAGCTGTGTAAAATGAAAACTCTGAATGGCAACATTTTCTTGATTCCTAGAATCATTCCAAAATGGTGGTGTAAATCCTTATGGAAAATACTGAAGGAACAGTTTGTTTACAAAAGGAAAAAAAGAGTTTTCATCCTGCCCTAGATGAGCAGCTCGGAGCTTGCCAAGGCAAACACAAATGTCCAGCTTACCAGTCAGGGTCAAGGATGTGGAAAATAAATACAAACTCCAAAATCTTTAAATAGAGTTTATGGTATGATTCAAGCCAGAGAAAAGTAGAAATCCCAAGTTCAGACAGATAGTCCCTCTTTGTCTGGCCCACTCCAATCTCCTGAAAACAAAGCCCATAGACTGCAACCTTGACAAACACATCTCAGGCACAGCAGTGCAATGAATGCTTTTAAAATTACACCATGAGGTGATTCAAAGGCAAAGTGAAAGGAGCTAACTGACAACCCTAAAAAGTCTCCTTTATCTCCACAGGAGAGCCACAGGGAGTGAGCTCCTCCACTCCAAGCCATCCCATCACCACCCTGATCCAAGCAGTGTGGGTGAGCAGGAGAGCACCAAACTCCCTGTTTGGTTTTTTTGTTTTGCACACAGAAAGGCTGATAAGGTGCCAGCTGCACTGCTAATGTTGTGATGGGCAATTACTTCCATCCAGGAATGGGCAGCTCCATGATTCCTGCAAAGCCTGTTTTGCTCTCCCCATCTCCTGGGCAGTGCTGTGCTGCTCTGTCACCCCCTAAACCCAGACAGCAGCTCCAGTGGCACTGCCAGGGCTTTTCTTGGAACCAGAGGGCAGAAAGTGCTTCCCTGAGCTTGGCCTTACTGGTTTATGACAGGTAACCCCTGGAGGGCCCAAGGAACCTGACAGCTTGTTAAAAAAAGTGAAAAGAATGACAATCAAATTCTCTCCTATCAAGCACAGCTTTTTTCTAAGAGGCTCTTAACAACAAAATATTTGCAAAATGACTGGAACAAATGTTCACAGGTATTTAACCACTACTCATCCTGGACTGAGGATGATTTTTTTAAAATGTTTGAACAGTATGCTATTATTTCACCTTCAGGAGGGCAGACAGTTTACACTTCACCCAACTATCGGAGCAGTCAGAACCATCAAACCAAGAATGGTTCGGGTTGGAAGGGACCTTAAAACTCATCTTGTTCCATCCCCCCGTCATGGGCAGGGACACCTTCCACTAAAGCCAAATCCAGCTTGGCCTTGGACACTTTCAGGACTGGGGCACAGCACTGTGTGTCAAATCTTACTATGGTTCATAAAGGACAAAGTAGAGGTACCCTAAAAAAATGACATGCAGAGGGAAGAGAAAACATGAAACAAAAGGGAAAAAATCAATACAGAAGTTAACAACTGCAAATTAACTTAAAAGCTACAGAGTATTGTGCAAAGGAAGTTGTGTGAGATGTCAATAGTGACAGCTAAATTATCACAGGCTCTTAAGAAAAGCAACTACATGTTTTCATGAAAGACATTTAAACTATAATAGACTGTGACTATGCAAAGTGAACCTTTTAAGAGGGGAAAAAATGAAATACAGAAAGCCATGAAAGCTAACGCCTAAAATGACTGTCACGACAAGAATCTGATATCCAAACCAAGCTGTTAATCTAGATTTTGTTCTAATTTCTCTGTCCTGAGCACACCTGGGTGAGTCAAACCCAAACTCAGCTACAGGCAACAACAGGAGAAGTCACAAAATGGAAAGATAATAAATGAGCTGTCAACCCCATACCAGTCTGCACAAATCTGGGCTGATTACCTGAATGCACCTGTTTCTTCAAATATGTGTTTTTATATTAAAAATTCATTGTAGAAGTTCTTAAATTTCACATGCAAATCCTGCCTATTCAGGATAAAAGCAGAATTCCCATACTTGTTTTCCTGAAATTACAAGCACTATTTTCCTATGTAAAAGGAAGAGTAGGAGGGAGGGAAAAGCCCTGTGTATTAACTGTTCACAAGTTCCCACTGACTGATTTTACACAGTTCCAGACTGCAGAGTTCAATAAATCCCACTGAATAGAGTTCTGCATTTCCTCCATTCAACAGTAACACTTGGTACCTGCAACTGAACTTCCACAACGATTCCAAAATTGGTGTTCACCTACTGAGGCAGGTAGTGGCTTTGCATCTTAGAATTAACATCTGTGATTCAAACAGATAACAACTGTTGATATTATAAATAAACTTGCAAGAAATATAAATGTACCTTTAGGGGATTCTTAAAAGTTTATTGCCTCCAAACTGCCAAACAAACAACCCCCACACATACTATTTTCTACATGCAACTGAGATAAATTTACATGCACATGTACCAAAACACTCTGCTTAGTAGAATCTGGAATAGTTTTATTATGAAAACCACAGGGTTTACTATGTTAATAAATGCTTCAGATATGGTGAGGAGTAAAGAGTAAAATTTATGGGCAGAAGGAAAGGTTGAAAATTAAATATTACTCAATCAAACAGCACACTGAGTATCAGACACAAGGCTTCCCAGATCAATTAAGGCTTATCAAATCTTTTTTATTAGGAAACAAACAGGAAATTTAATGAAAAAAAGAATATATTCAAGCATCTGTTCAAAGCAACTAAATTATTTTATAGCTATAAAATGTGAGCTTTTTGATAGATGTTAAACGTTCTTGTTCTATGATTATACTATGAAGACAATACATCAGAACTTTGGGTAGCCTAAATTACTTTACAACTTATGCAGAGGTGGTTAAATGCACTTGTACTAGAAATGAATTACACAGAGCAGCCTGCATGAACACACCTCATATGACCTGTTCCATGTTCTTGGTCTGCTGGCTGCATCTTTCAGGAATGCCCAAAAAATGAAATTGCACCTTGAAATTCATTAAATACCTGCAGGTTCTAACCTGCAACCTTTTCAGACTTTATGGTATAGACCGAGGGGATAATTATGAAGTCCAGCATGCTCCTTTCATCTTGGGTACCTGCTGCACAGTAAGCATTACCCTTCATCTTGCTGAAACCGAAAACACTTCAAGCATTTTGCATATTCAACAATTCCTTCCCCAGCCCCCTTTCCCACAGGAAAAAAAAAAGCCATAAATGAACAACCAACATGAAGAGTGCTCTAGACTAATAGGAGCATTTTCCTTTGTTCAGGATTTAGATCTGGCTTCATGTTAGAGCCTGCTCAGTGCACTCCATTGTCAAGTACATACACTCTTGGCTGTCTAAGAACCAAAGGGATGCACTTAAAACAAGGATCCACCTGTGCTCCCAGTGCAAGACCTTACCCTACAACTATCTCAGGAGTTCCCCCACGTTTTCTTTTTTTTTTCAGAACTGGCTTCTAACTTTGTATTAAACTATAGCTAGAGTCAACTTTAGCTATAATCTGAAGAACTAACTGTCAGATACTTTTTACTTTCATTGACACACAAATAACAAACTTAAATGCACAGAAAGAAATTAAACTTAAAAAAAAAATTCAAAGCCAAGGATTAGAAAACCTGCATTTCTTTCTTCAAGCTGC